GAGAGAGAGAGAGAGAGAGAGAGAGAGAGAGAGAGAGAGAGAGAGAGAGAGAGAGAGAGAGAGAGAGAGAGAGAGAGAATGGGGGTTGCATTCTCGAAAAGGAAGGTGCCGTGTTAAGCGGGCGTCAGACTCTGGGCGATGAGGTAAGGGACGAGACTGGTGATCGAATCCATTGATACGAAGACTTCTAGCCTTTCCAGAGTAATTGATTTTTTTGTTTTCTTTTTGTCTCGGAAGCAGTGGCATGCTCTGATGAGAAGTGTGGAGAGGGCGTGCAATTACCTCCCTCGCTCCCTGGCTCCCTCGCTCCCTCCCTCCCTCCCTCCCTGCTTTGGCACTTTTCATTGGCGCATGCTTCGCTTTCTGTTTCTTTTTTTTGGGGGGGGGTCATGTCGCCACCAGTTTTGTCGTTGTTTTCTATGGATGGGAATTCGGCAGAAGTAAACCCGAGCTGAGCCGAGCTGAGATTACGCATCCTTGCAATGCTCTGTTGAATTCGAATTCTCTGTTTAATTCTTCTATAAGATAGTATCAGCAATAACGTTCGTCTGTGCGGCTCTTTGCGATTTCTCCTTGAGAAGAGCGACTTAAACAGCGAGCAGTTCGAGAAGTCTTTCCTAAGGTCCCACCATGACGCGCATATTATGGTGCGGAAGCATTATGCAAACCATTACGTTATGCTGGCATAATTACTATTTGTAGAATGCGCGTGTCGCCTTTGATGAAGTTTGATCTGGTTTTCTGTTCCTAATTATAGGTTATGGGCTGTAGATGGGAGCGATTAGAATGCAATAGATTGGTGTCAGTTCGATCTCGTATGAACCGCAATCAGAGGAGAGTTATTCTCTCTCTCTCTCTCTCTCTCTCTCTCTCTCTCTCTCTCTCTCTCTCTCTCTCTCTCACACACACACACACACACACACACACACACACACACACACACACAGAGTATGCTAGGATTGCAAGGTTGGTGTGAGTAAAGTCGAACGCTTTTCTCTCTCAGGTGGGTGTCGCTAACTCGGGGCGATGTGGTGAGTCTTTATCGATTAGTTAAATGAATCCTGGGCAGACTGTCGGGGTTCAACCTCCTGATGAGTCGGTGAAAGTCCGACGAAACAGTCTGTTCGGCACAGTCATGATTTTCTCTGTGGAGTTGTGTGTAGCGAATACGACCACACACACACACACACACACACACACACACACACACACACACACACACACACACACAGCGAAAGCCCGAAAAAGTGTGGTACAGTCGTGCTTTTTCTGTGGAGTTGTGCAGAACGAACGTGACAATACAGAGGCACGCTACACATCCGCGTCTGGAACATGGCCCTCTGGCCTTCGTATGCCTGCTTGCCTTGGAGATGATTCTCCATTCCTTTCAATTTCCGTCATAGTTCTCATCCTCCGCCCTGTTCCGCCCGACTTTTTTTTTTTTTTTTTTGATTTGTCACGAATGCTATCTTCAATGATTGTTCGAGCGCTTGATGACTCGATGCTGGTAGGGCTTTCCGCCTCTTCTGGGGATTCCGAAGCGGAAGTGGAGGGCGGGGGGAACCGGAATCATTGGGAGTGTGGACGTGGGGGTTCTGCATCGTCAGGGCATGCCCACACTCGGGCTTTTCTGGATCTCTATTGTTTTTTCTTTTGTCCTTTTTTGGAAAAAGGGCCGCTCCCATCTATTGGTGGGAAGCATCACCTGCTGGAAACCGGATCCAGCTATTTGCGTTTTGGGCCTAATTCAAGAACTTCAAGGTCCAGTAAGTATTCACAGTGTACTTCACCATTGCGTTCTGACGATTTCAAAAGCAGCAGCTTTTTTTTTTTTTTTTTTTTTTTTTTTTTTTTTTTTTTTTT